TGCGTGCACCTCTGTACCTGTGCACTTCCGCACCTCCTCTGAGTCTCAGTGTGCTTTTCTCTTTCCTTCTAGTTGTAGAATTTCCATTCAGCCAGCCTTCCTGTGGTTCTGGATGATGTCCACTTTGTCTTATAGTTGTATTTTTGAAGTTGTTGTGCGGGGCAGCAATTTCCGGTGTTTACCTATACCACCATCTTGGTTTCTTCCTACAGCCCGTAGTTCTTACTGCCCGTAGGGACTTCTTTTCCCAGCTCTGGTGCCCTGGGCTGGGCGTTTAATGTTGGTCTGAGGCCCCTTGTTCCTCCAGGTGGCCTCCACAGAAGCGATCTCCCTCCCAATTAAAAATAAGCACACGCGGTTGCCAGACCAGCCTATTCCACTCTTACTAGTCTCAGTGTGTTTTCTTCTCTAGTTGTAGGACTTCCATTCAGCCAGCTTTCTGGCAGTTCTGGATGGTTGTATTTTGGTTGTAATTTTGATTTGGTTATGGGAGGCAGTGAATACAGGCATTTGCCTATGGCACCATCTTGGTTCTCCTCCAAGAATGAGTTAACTGAATTTTTTGCAGTCCTTATGGTTCGAGGGGCCTCATATACAGGATATAAATATATATTGTGACATTTATGCATTTCTGTTCTCTATTATGTTTTGAAACTGTATTTGCTATTTTTTATACCACTTCATATTATTTTTTAACAATTTCTTAGTGATTTCTTCTTCGGTACTTCAACTGTCCTTTTGTTCTTTCATTTTTCTCTTTCATGGATGCCATGTTCTTTGGACGCTTGTTTAGATCAAATTAATTGCCTTTTAGGCTTCTTCCTAAAAGGAGGAGTTTACTTTTTGAATAATAATAATTATATGTCACAGGTGGGGCGGGGCATCAGGATTTTAGAGATGTTTAGGTGGGGCATGGCGAAAAAAAGGTTGGGCACCACTGGTCTAGTCAGCCTAGTGCTAAATCAGCCTTTAATTGTGAACATTTCCCCCTATTTACAGCCTTTTTTTCTATGGTTGCCTCTTTCTTGTTACGTTGTTGGGTTTTTGGTCCCTCATACAAGATGGCTTTTCTTACCTTAGACTTGGCAGGAACTTCAGAGCTTATCTAATTCAAATTGCTTTCTTATCAGATGGTAAAAGTGAGGCCCACAAACAAGTGACATGGAAATCTAAACCAGATCACAGAAACTATATAGTCTTAAGTTCTCTTCTGTTAAAAACTTACTATAATTGTGAATTTAGCTCCTTTGGGATACTGTAAGTTCTCAGTTCTTCTAAAAGCAACTGAGCTCATATTTCTGTTGTTCATAATTGTTAAAAGCCAGTGCAGGAGCTCTAAGTTATTGGCTGATAGCAGTTAGTCTGTTATCTCTCGGGTTCAATTTACCCTCTAGTATCTTGCTTTGCTATAATGAACTGGGCTTTTTGCGCATTTCTTCCTATAGTGAGCACAGATAAGTTTGGTCAGTAGAAGGAGGGAAAGGGGTCTCTTTCTGGTTTCAGTTTGTTTTGCTTTTCTGCCTCTGATGCAGTGTCATCAGTGCAGGTGGCTGGGACACCTTGTGGGTCAGGAATCGTGCAGTTCTTCAACAACCTAACATTGACCTAGGCCAGTGATGGCGAACCTTTTGAGCTTGGTGTGTCAGCATTTTGAAAAACCCTAACTTAACTCGGTGCCTTGTCACATACAGAAATTTTTTGATATTTGCAACCATAGTAAAACAAAGATTTATATTTTTGGTATTTATTTTATATATTTAAATGCCATTTAACAAAGAAAAATCAACCAAAAAAATGAGTTGGCGTGTCACCTGACACGCATGTCATAGGTTCGCCATCACTGACCTAGGCTGACCACACCTGGCAGCACCTCCCACAGACACTAATGTACCCATATTCTATGTCCACCTGGCAGGCAAAATATTTCATAAATTAACATGGTGGGAGGGACAGAACTAGATGATTTTATTTACTAGAGGCCTGATGCATGAAATTCATACACTTCAGGGGGGAGGTGGTTCCCTCACTTCAGCCTGGCCTGCACCCTCTCGCAGTCCAGGAGCCCTCGGCGGATGTCCGACTGATGGCTTAGGCCCACTCCTTAGTGCTGCCAGGGAGGCAGTAGAGGCTTCCACCATCACTGTGTACTCACCAGCCGTGAGCCTGGCTTCTGGCTGAGTAGTGTCCCCCTGTGGGAGTGCACTGACCACCAGGGAGCAGCTCCTGCATTGAGCGTCTACCCCCTGGTGGACAGTGCACATCATAGCAATTGGTCAACTGATCAACTGCCCCTGTGGTGGTCAGTGCACGTCATAGCAAGCAGTTGAGCGGCCTTAGCATATCATTAGCATATTATGCTTTGATTGAACGGATAACCAGACACTTAGCACATTAGGCTTTTATTATACAGACAGTCCTCAAATTACATTCGACTTGAGTTATGTCGTTTCGTGGTTACATCGCCATCTCCCATTTATTTATTTATTAAATATATTTTATTGATTTTTTACAGAGAGGAAGGGAGAGGGGGAGAGATTTAGAAACATCGATCAGCTGCCTCCTGCACACCTCCTACTGGGGATGTGCCTGCAACCAAGGTACATGCCCTTGACCAGAATCGAACCTGGGACCCTTCAGTCTATAGGCCAACGCTCTATCCACTGAGCCAAACCAGTTAGGGCCCATTTATTTATTAAAAAAAAAAAAATTCCGTCATTTCGACGTATGTACGTATGTGCTTTATGTTTATTATTTATTTACCACAAGTAAAGATCAGGAATTGTTGTCTTTTAATTTTTTTTACTGTTTCACTTCCTTACTGCTGTGTATGTGCTCCATGTGAGTGACATAGGTGCTTATGTAGGTGGGTTCTGACTTATGGCGAAAATTGCGTTATGTCGAGGCATAGGAATCGATCTCTGATGTAACCCGAGGACCTACTGTATAGGATGCCTGCTGTATAGAGCGCTCTATTCATAGGTAAGCTGCAATAGCTCTCATTGATAGCACATAGCACTTAACTATCAACCCATTATCCGTCCATCTTACTTTTTTTTGAGTCCTTAAAATATTTCTTTTCCACTTTTAAGTCTTATTTGGAGGTTACCTTAAACCCTACTAGCTTATTTTATGGCCTGATGAAAAGAAATGGGACTAACTCGGAAATTGGCAGGTGGGCTACAATAGAATAGACTGGGAAGGACACAGTTGTTCTGATACGACACAATGAATGTGGTGGTGGTGGTGGTCACACTTTGGTTTATGTCAGTCTATGCGATTTCAAAATTACCTTTTTTTTTTCCATTAAACAGTTTAAGTAGCTTCTAACTCCTAAAACACCTTCTGTTAACATCAAGCAGCATGGCATTATATTAAATATTGGCAACTTAAATTCTACAACTCTATTTTTTAGAACTACTCTAAAATAACCTTCCTTTGTTCCATCCTACATCTCTCTGTCAAGTCTTTGTGGTAGAAACAAGCAAGGAAGTTTAAAGGAGAGTGATCTATCTAACGGCACTATTCTTTTTAAATCTTGTGTTTCTATAAATCCTATATTATATAAATGACTATTATTGACTAAATTTTTAAGACACAAGAAAATGTATCTTTTTAAGAATTCTGGGTTTAAAAAAAACCAAAACACAAATATTATAAAAGCAAACTAATTTTATTTGAACAACCTAATTGGAGAGAAGGGTAGGTGAACAATTACTGTAACCAGAGGGGAATATTCTATGTCAAATTTTAAAACATAATGGCAGAATAAGCTAAAGAGTTTCTTTTGAAAACAATGTTTACTACAACATAATAACCCCTTATAATGGTAGACCTATTATTATTTGAATGTTTGTCTATTCTAGTCTCTTTAATACTTTTTAATATTTACATATGTTGTGCCTGAATATGTAAATAAGGCTTAAGAACTGCAACAAAATCTGTTCTCTGACACTATCTAATAAAATACGGAAAAAGCAATAAATTAAAATTTACATAGGTTCATAGGCATGCCAATCATAAGTTTTAAGAAAAACAATTGGGAGAAAAGAAAGCATAACAAAGTTTCAACAACAAATAATTTAAACATCATATCAACTCTGGCTTACATACCAAGTGCTTAAAAACGCTAATTTCAAGTGTTCATGAATTCAGTAGCTACCAGTACAATCTATCCTTTATTTCCCCCAACCTCTTTCTTTAAGGGTAGCAACATTTTTTTGAAAGATTTTAAAAATTCAGTTTGGATCATGATTTTCTTAAACAGACTTAGATGCTCATGAGAGGCCATTTATACAACAAGCAACACAATTTTCCTTATATTTTTAGTAAGCTGCAGCAATGAGGAATATTATATAGAAGGATCTTTAACTTTGAATACAAACAATAGAACCTGTGACAAGGAGCCCACAATTTCAAAAGAAGCTACTTATAAAGAAAATATAGGTTCTCCAAATGAAGGTACGAATAACTGTCTGCTTCTTGATAAAAATACTGGAAACATTTCTCACTTTTACTCTGCAGAATCAGAACTTGAAAAATAATAATCTTTCTCTTCTTCATCCAAAGACTCCATAGCATTAGTGAAAAGTTTTCCAACAGTAGAGCTTTCTCCTAAGAAGAATTTAATAAAAATGATGAATACATTTCTAAAAGTAATTTCAATAAAAATAACTATAAGATATCAAATGGTAGGTCTGCCCATTTGACAACAGTTAATTTTAGTACCATGTTAATAAAGAGACTGTTCTATAATAGAACTGAGTTACTAAAGAAAGAAATGTGTATTACCTTTGTTAAGTGGGGTTTTTCTTCTTGATGGAGTTGAAAAATCACTTTCCACCTAACAAAAAGAATTTACATTAATAGAAAAATGGTACCTTCTGTGAAGCCTGCCTCAATCTAGACAAAATTAAGCCTGCTTTATCCCCAGAGTACCTATAACAACACCTAATCTATAATAATAAAAGCGTAATATGCAAATTGACCCAACGGCCAAAGGCTACTATGGGTGTCAAACGTGGTCCGGAAGACCACGCTATGACACTCACTGGCGCCAGGCCAGCCAAGGCGGGTGCAGTACGATTGGTCAGGGACCCCACCATCAGCCCATGATCACCCCACAGAGGGAGGCCCAGGCCACGGGCCTACAACGGGTGGGTGGGGCCTCCCTCAGCAGGGGTGATCCATTGCGGAGTGAGACTTCGGGGCTATTAATTGTGGGGTTCCTGGCTGTGAGAGGGCGCAGACCATGCTGAGGGCCCCCCCCTCACCCCGCAAGTGCACAAATTTCGTGCACTGGGCCTCTAGTCATATTATAATTATCCATGAAATGTCTAACTCTCTTTTAAGTTGAATTTATTTGGGGCAAGAACTATGACTTACTCAATGTCGTTTCCCACATTACAAACTTATGCAACAGCAATTAATAAATAGTCTATGGGCCTCTGAAAGTTGCCAAATCTCCTAAGTACTTATGCCATGACATTAAGTAGCAACATTTTAAAATCCTTTGTACTTTAAAATCTTTCCTACAATGGCAGTTTATATTATAAGCTTTAACTGTATAATGCATGCTTACATAATTAGTGCTTTTAAAACTACTGGTGGGAAATGGGGTGCGGCTGGAAAGGGGGCTGCTCCCACGCCCTTCACGCAACACACGTTCGTGGGGAACCTGGCGCTAAACCATTCTTAGACCTGCTTCTGGGTCGGGATTTCGTACGTAGCAGAGCAGCTCCCTCGCTGCGATCTACTGAAAGTCAGCCCTCGACACAAGGGTTTGTAAAAAAGAACAAAAAACAAAAACTATTGGCCATACCTGATTATATTTAAAAAATGAAAAGAAACGTAATAGAAAAGGAAATATGACAGTATACCCACTATGCGAAGGGAAGTATTTTTAAAACGTTTGAGATACAAACTCATGTTCATAGATTGTGATGTAAATAATTTTTTTCCCTGTGAAATGAGTCAAAACATTACATTTTTTATTTTTTATTTTTTTATTTTTTTTAAAAATATATTTTATTCATTTTTTACAGAGAGGAAGGGAGAGAGATAGAGAGTTAGAAACACCGATGATGGAGAAACATCGATCAGCTGCCTCCAGCACATCCCCCACTGGGGATGTGCCTGCAACCCAGGTACATGCCCTTGACCGGAATCGAACCTGGGACCCCTCAGTCTGCAGGCTGACGCTCTATCCACTGAGCCAAACCGGTTTCGGCAAAACATTACATTTTTTAGCTCTCAAAGTCATTTGGTGAGAGAAAACAGTATCATTATGACCCCCAGTTCATACCATACATGAAAAAAATGAAATGAGAAAGCTCAAGTGGCTTCCTTCACCACAAAGCTGGTATAGGGAGTCAAACCTTGACATCTGAATTTTTAATACTACATAAATCCTTTGCTCTTTCTATTCTCACACATTGGCTACAAAATATTAATCTATGAAGAAATGGGGCTAAATCACAAAGATATAATTTTGAAGCTCAAATTATAGTCCACTAAGTAAAACAAAAGTATTTAAAATTATGTCAGAAATACAGAGAAAAAAGCTTTTAATAGGTCCTTATACCTATATCCATATGAACTGTTTCTCATTTTGCAGAGAACAGTGGACTAGGGTCTTGCTACTACTAGTATGGTCCATGGATCAGCAGCAGGGCATCACCTGGAGGTTACTAGAAATACAGAATCTCAAACCTACTAGATCAGATTTAACAAGATCCCTAGGTGACTGCCATGCACATTAAAGTTTGAGGCAACCCAACTTCTTACTGGCAAAACAGACACTATAAGACAAGTCTTCCCACTATGTTAAGGTGACTCCTGGTCCTTTACAACAAACCAAAATTTCATTTTCATAAGGAATGCGAGACGAAAAGGGGAATCTGAAAACACCAAGAGGGAGGCTGCCTACAGAGATTTCTTTTGAAGAATTTAGTCTCCAGGCTAATTCTCAACCAAGCTCCCCAGAGGTATCATTTCCTGTGGACAAGCGAAGCCCACAAAGATTGGCTGTGAGTAATCCCAATGTTTAGTTTACAGACTCTGAGAGGAATTTACTCTAGGCAAGTGTACAATGTAAATATTTCAACATGGTGAGGGAGGAAGAGGTGTCCATAACTTGGTCGAAGGAATATACCGTCAGCGGATAAGGGAGTCATTTCCCATTCTACTACCACCATAAACTCTCATTCTCTAAGATTAGTTATTTACTTTGAGAAAATCTGAGGTGAATTAGCTTTTCTAAAATGAATATAAGTTATCCAAAGCAAAATGAAACAAAATTTTAAAATTAATTCAAGAGGATAAAGGATTCTCTCAATTTTTTATTAAAGGGATATAGATCATTATTAAAGCAAGGCTGAGTTAAAATTTTTTCTACAGTTTTAATATTGATCTACATACGTATATTAGCTGAATTTCAAAAACATTTAGAAGCTGCACGGGATTTGATGAAGTTTCTTATTCTATAATAGTCATAACTCAGTCTGGATGATTCCCCAATCATTGAACAGATATGCTTTTGTCTTGCCTGAAATGTCCTTCCCTGACCTGTAAGTGCTTTTCCCACCCTATCTGACTATTTGAATGAAAATTTTTACCATTTTCACTTTCCTCAAATACTATAGTCAATCACCTGCCATCTGTAATTTCTAGCACTTAGGTACTTACCTCACTCACAACCTCATATTACCATTTACTTATATTAATTAGGCTATAAGTAACTTGAGGGTAAGGCCTGTTACATAACTTGTAATTCCCGCAGTTTGCCAAGTATTATATTTGTTCCATAAATACACGTTGAATAAATCTGGTGTGAAGAATAAAAATACTTACTGTTTTCTTCTTGATATTGCCCCAGACAACACCACCTTTATTTTTATGTTTTTTTTGCATGTGAAAAACATATTTATCACAGTCATTCCTGTGTGAATACAAAATAATTGCAAGTCAACATTAACTATCATAATTTTATCCATAGATTGAACAATTGACAAAATTAGTGTTTCAATTTCTAAAAAGTGCGTTTTCACTAACATTTTTAAAGACAATGGTGTACCAAGGAAGATGGACAAAAAGCTTCGAAGATTTAAAGGAAATGGAAATACCAGATAAGAATATTCTGGGAAATTGTGGATTTGCATGTTCATTGTCCCATTTGTGCTCTCTCCAGGCTCTGTCTTGCTGCTGCTGCTTTTTCAAAGCTCACTGTGACTTCTTATCCCTGAATTCCTTTTGTTATAGCTTTCACTCCTTTCTCCTGGTCACTTCCTTCCCTAATCCAGATTGGATCTTGAAGTTGATAACTTTAAGGTGATGAAAACCCTTAATTAATTTATAGCATCAAACTGTTGAGTCTTCAATTCAGTGTACATCTATGAAGTTTTTTTCATTTCTTTTCTTATCTCTTTTTTTGTTAATTCTCATGGGAGGATATTTTTCCCATTAAAGGGGGAGAGAGGGAGAGGGAGAAAGAGAAATAATGTGAGACACACACATTGATTGGTTGTCTCTTGCATGAGCCCCAACCAGGACTGGGGATCCAACCTGCAACCCAGGTATGTGCCCTTGAGCAGGGAATGGAATCTGTGACACGTCAGGGCTTTACCTTATCTATTTTTTATTTTCTTTTATAATTCTTATTAATTTAAATGCTATCTTATTGCTGACAGTATTACAAATGTCCCCCCACCCTCCTCTACATCCCCCTCCTCCCAGCCCCTGCCCCTCCCATGCCTTTACCACACTACTGTCTATATCCATTGGTTAGGCATATATGAATATGAATTCTTTGGTTAAACTGTTCCTGTTTCCCCTCCTCCTCCCCTCTGAGATATACCTTATCTCTTAACCCTCTTTCCTAGCATATAGACTTGATTCATAATTTACAGATGAAAATTAAAGCCAAACAGAATGGTTGTTCTCATTTTCCCCTACGATTCCTAGTCTTTTTATCCCCCCACAGTAAATACCAACTGAGCACTAATTCTAATTCTTTTTCTTGGCTCCAAGATATCCTATATGATTATCTGTTCCTTTGTGACTATTTGGGAGCAACCTTAAAGGTGTGACATGTAGAAATTTGTAAATGTGTGACTGTATTAAGATATAATGTGTACCACAAACACTCTTGCATATTACCCAAAGCAATATACAGGTTTAATGCAATCACCATAAAAATCCCAATGACTTTTTTTCTTTTTTTGATCAATCCTCACCCAAGAATATTTTTTTAGAGACAGTGGAGGTGGAGGGTGGGGGTAGAGGGCGGGAAACATTGATGTGAAAGAGACACATCCATTTGTTGCCTCCCACAGGTGCCGTAACCTGGGTCAGGTATTAACCCCTATAGTGCAATCTCGCGCCTCCTGTCTTTTGCCAAAAGTGCCCCGAGCGCTATCAAAGCTTCGAAATGGCATCCAGTTCCAAGTCTGCTTTTATTAGTGATGATGATATTGCTAAATATGTCAGTGTAGTAAAGGTTTCCTTAAGTTTTTGAATATGTAACTTCATTTACTTGCGATTCATAATTTTTTTCCTAAACTGCGGTAAAATCAGCAAAAAATACCTTGGCAATTTTAGCATAGGTCCTAGGATATTGGTTGGCACTCAAAGGGTTAAACCTGCAACCCTTCAGTGCATGAGACCATACTCTAACCACTGACATTTTTTAAAAAATATATTTTATTGATTTTTTACAGAGAGGAAGGGAGAGAGACAGAGAGTTAGAAACATCGATGAGAGAGAAACATCGATCAGCCGCCTCCTGCACATCTCCCACTGGGGATGTGCCTGCAACCCAGGCACACGCCCCTGACAGGAATCGAACCCGGGACCCTTCAGTCCACAGGCCGACGCTCCATCCACTGAGCCAAACCGGCTTCGGCACCACTGACATTTTTTAAAGAAATAGAACAAAAAAATAATCAGATATGTATGGAACCATACAAAAGACCCCTAATAGCCAGAAAAATCCTGAGAAAAACGAAAAAAGCCAGAGGTGTCACACTACCTGACTCAACGATAATGAAAACAGCATAGTACTGGAAGAAAAACAGACACGCAGACCAATGGAACAGAACTGAGAGCCCGGAAATAGAACCACATATATATGGGCAAAAACTTTTTTACAAACAGCTGAAAACACACAATGGAGAAAAGCCTCTTCAATAAATGGTGCTGGAAAAATTGGAAAGCCATTCAAAAGAATGAAACTAGTCTACTGCTTGTCCCCATGTACAAAATTAATTCAAAATGAATCAAAGGCCTAAATATAAGATCTGAAACAATATACTATATAGACAAAAACAGCTACTAAACTTGGTTATAGAGAACATTTTATGAACTTTATCCCAAAAGCAAGGGAAATAAATGATGGGACTATATCAACCTAAAAAGCTTCTGCATAGCAAAAGGAACCAATAACAAAACAAAAAGGCATCCAAGCAAATGGGCAATATATCTGCAAATAGCTCTGACAAGGAGTTACTATAAAGATGTTCAACCTCACAAGCTACTAGGTAAATGCAACTCAAAACCACAATGAGGTATCACCTCACACCTATTAAAATGGATATTGTCAATAAAATAGGTAGTAAGTGTTGGAGAGGTTGAGGAGAAAAGGAACCTTCCTTCATTGCTGGAGGGAATGTAGACTGGTATAATCACTATATTCAACAGTACTGAGGATCCTCAAAAAATAACTGAGTTACCATATGACACAGCAATCCCTCTCCTGGGTATCTACCTGAACTATCAGGACATTTATTCGGAAAGACATATGCACTCCTATGTTCACTGCAGCATTATTCATGATGGCCAAGACATGGAAACAACCAAAGCATCCTCCTACAGACGACTGGATAAAGATGTGGCACATACACACTATGGGAAACTACTCAGCCATAAGAAAAGATGCAGTTCTGCTACTTGGAACAACACGGATGGTGAGAATATCATGCTAAGCAAAATAAGTCAGAAAAAGCTAAGAACAACATGATTTCACTCATGTGAATATAAAACTGAAACTTATAGACATAGATAACAGTATGGTGGATACTGAGGGAACAGGGCTGGGGGAGGGTAAGTAAAGGGTAAAGGGGACTAAATAAATGGTGATGGAAGATGATTTGACTGAATGGTGGGCACACAATGCAATATACAGGTGGTATATTATAGATATGTACACTTGAAACCTATAGAATCTTATTAACCAATGTCACCCCAATAAATGTAATTAATTAAAAATAAAAGATTGGAAAAAAAAAGTAATGTGTGCCACAAATATTGTTGTGTAGCAAATGAATAAGCCTAGCCAGTTCAGGATCACTATCTCATGAGTCTGCTGTCCTGTACAAAGGAATCACTTCTGAAATAAAAACTGTTTCATAATTTAAAACTGATAAAAAAAAGGGGGAGGGGGGCGGGGGGAGTCAACTAAAGCTGGTTCAATTGAAGAAATAATGAAGAAGGCCTAGGAAACTCATGTTTTAAATTATGAAAAAAACCCAGCCAGCTTGGCTTAGGGGTTGAGCATCGACCTATGAACCAGGAGGTCATGATCCCATTCCTGGTCAGGGCACATACCTGGGTTGCGAGCTCAATCCCCAGTGTAGGGCGTGCAGGAGGCAGCCCATCAATGATTCTCTCTCATCACTAAAGTCTCTCTCTCCCTATCCTTCCTCCCTTCCTCTCTGATATCAATAAAAATATATTTAAAAAGTCAAATCTGAAAAAAAGTTTTAGGAAATATATTCATTACATGAGTTCATCATGTGCTCTATAAGAAAAAATGTCCTTTTTCTTTAATTGTAAAAGTGATTAAAAACAAACCCACACCAGTAAAATTCTATAATTTAGAGATAATAGCTGGTGATGTTTTGGTCAAGTAATTTCCTTTCTCTTATGAATGTGTTATGTAAGTTGAGATCATTAATGTAGTTTTGATTCCTAGCTTTTAAAACCTTTTATTCGCCGAAACTGGTTTGGCTCAGTGGATGGAGCATCGGCCTGCGGACTGAGAGGTCCCGGGGTCGATTCCGGTCAAGGGCATGTACCTGGGGTGCGGGCATATCCCTAGTAGGAGATGTGCAGGAGGCAGCTGATCGATGTTTCTCTGTCATCGATGTTTCTAACTATCTCTCCCCCTTCCTCTCTGTAAAAAATCAATAAAATTAAAAAAAAAAAACAAAAAAAACCCTTTTATTCACTGAACATTATTTTGTCATTAAAAATTCTTGAAGCATGACTTTTGTTACATATTATTCTATTATATGGACAATTCCTAATTTCTTAACTTTTCTTACTATTGGACATTGAATTCTAATTCCAAATTTTCAGTATTATGCTTTGTGATATACATCTTTGCTCATACAAATGTCTATGTCTACTTGCCCCAATTTTTTATTTTTGTAGAACTCAGTAATTATATTATTGGGGGTATGTGTTGTTTCTTTTTTAAATTTATTTCAGAGAGAGAGGAAAGGAGAGGGAGAAAGAAACATCAATTGGTTGCCTTTCCTACGTGACTGTACTAACTGGGATTGAACTCATGACCTGGGTATGTGCTCTGCCTGGGAATTGAGCCTGCCATTCTTCTGTGCAGGGCTGACAGTCCAACAGCCAGGGCAGAACTCACTAATTAAAGGGCCAAAAGGAATTAGTATTTTAATGCCTTTCATTTGGCCAAAGTGGTTAACAAAAACTGTCCAAAATGATCCTCTCAATATACTTTCACCTGCACTAAATACTAAATCACAAGTAAACAAAAAATAATTTGTGGATGGATAGGGAAAATTGTTTTTGTCAAATGCAAATTAAAGTTCCATCAGGCTTCATTGAGAATACTGAATACACTATTTTGAATCATTGTCATTTGGCTCCTGCCCCTCACACTCTATGGAGATTGTTCTTACTAGATCAGCATATGGGATAGCCTATTTTTAGGCCTATCACTTTCCATCTTTTCTGTGTAACATTTTACCGTTGGCCATCCCTATTTTTCTTGATAGTATTTATATTTCAAACTAGAGGCCCAGTGCACGACATTCATGCACTGAGGGTGGGGGGGGGGGGGTGGGGGGGAGGTCCCTGAGCCCGGCCTGTGCCCTCTCGCTCCCCTAAGTGGGCCTGAGCCGGCAATTGGATATCCCCTGAAGTTTCCTTAGGGCTGTTGTGGAGGCAGGAGAGGCTCCCGCCACCTCCACTGCACTCACCAGCCATGAGCCTGGCTTCTGGCTGAACAGCACTCCCCCTGTGTGAATGCACTGACCACCAGGGGGCAGCTCCTGCATTGAACATCTGCCCCCTGGTGGTCAGTGCGCATCATAGTGACCTGTTGTTCTGCTGTTTGGTCGATTTGCACATTAGGGTTTTATTATATAGGATAGTTCCTATATTTGTATAGTTCAAAATTCAAAGTCTCCCAAGATATCTTAGTTTTCTCTCTATGTATCCTTTCACAGATATTTAATTAAAGCAATTATGTACAAGTATACACATATACACTCTCATGTATATCATACCTATATACATAAATGGCAACACATAATTCAATGTATATAACTTTTTCACCTACTATATTGTGGACATTTTACCATAATAGTACATAAAGAAATTCTTCATTAATTTCTATAGCTATATAATGTACCAGAAGTTACTTGATTAGTCCCTATTTATGGACATTTGAGTTGTTTTCAGTATTTTGCCATTATAAATAATATTTCAAGGAATAAGCTGAACATTCACAACTCTAAAAGTAGGATTGCTAAGTTAAAGAGCATGTGCATTTATAACTTTGGTATATATAGAGACAAACTGCTGCCTGCAGAGATTGACTAATTTACCTTTTTGCTATAATTCATGAGAATGACTTTCCAAATTTGTAGGAGTGCTGTATCAGGGAAATTAGCCTTTTTCCTGTGATGAGTTCCACATATTCCTTTCTCAAATTGTCATTTGTGGTTTTTTTAAATTAAATTTATTGGGATGATATTGGTTAATAAGATTATATGGGTTTCAAATGGTCATTATAATACATCATCTGTATATTGCATTGTGTGCACACAACCCAAAATTTAGTCTCCTCCTGCAACCATCTATTTGACCCCTCTACCCACTCTAGTAACTACCATGTGTCCATGAGCTTTTGTTTTGTTGATTCATTTGTTGCTTTCTATTTTATATCCTACAGATGAGTGAAATCATGACTCCTGGCCTTTTCTGTCCAACTTATTTCAATGAGCATGGTACTCAAGATCTATCTAGGGAGCCTTGGCCAGTGTGGCTCAGTTTCTTGGGAGTCGACCCATATAACAAAAGGTTACTGGTTCCATTCCCAGTCAGGGCACAAGCCCAAATTGCAGGCTGTATCCCTGGTGTGGGGTGCACAGGAGGCAGCTGGTCAATGTTCTGGTCTCACATCAGTGTTTTTCTTTCTCTTCCTCTCCCTTCCTCTCTAAAAATCAATATACACACACATACACACACAAAAGATCCATCCATATTGACACAAGTGGCAATATTTCATCTTTCCTTATGACTGAGTACATTGTATATATGTAACACATCTTCTTTATCCAATCATCCATCAAAGGACACCTGGGTTGCTTCCATGTCTTGGCCATTGTGAATAATACAATGAATATAGGAGTACTGGTATATTTACAAATTTTCATTTTTTGAGTAGATACCATGAAGAGAGATTGCTGGGTCATATAGCTCTATTCTTAATTTTTTTGAGGAACCTCCATCCTGTTTTTCATAATGGTTGTACTAATTTACGTTCCAACCAGCAGTGTATGAGGGTTCCTTTTTCTCTACATCCTCTCCAACAACTGTTATTTTTTTTTCAGTCCTTTGATTGTTTATGTTTGATAGGTACCAAATGAAACTTTTTTTAATATACTAGACTACATTCTTTTTGTTAGTGGCTTCTGGGTCTTCCATCATAGTGAGAAAGACCTTCACTAATCTAAGACTATAAAATAATTCTCCAAGGTTATTTTAGGTATATTTTATAGTTTAATTTTTCACATGTAAAACTTTGATCCAGTGGGACTTTGTCCTGATGTAAAGTGTGAGCTGTGTCCCAACATTACAGAATAACCATATTTGGAAGAATATCCTCTTCTTGACTGTACTGGAAATTTGGCAACTAGAATACAAATATTCATTATCAGCAGGCACCCCTAATAATAAAATACTTCACCACAAAATGTTTTTGGAGGGCTTTGTTTTTTCTGCCTTATAATTTCCTGAGATAATGAAAAATATTAGGCAAAGAAGAGAGCCTTGTCCTCTAAAAAACTTGGTTGTGTAAAATGAAGACAATGATACCTGTTTCTAAAAGTTGTATAGACCAGGGGTCAGCAAATGTGTTCTGTAGAGTCAGATAAGTATTTTCTCTTTGTGGTCCATACAGTCTCTGTCACAACAACACGATTATGCTGGTTGTAGCTTGAGGCAGCCACAGCCAACATGTAAACAATGTTCCTGTCTGTGCTCCAATAACATTTTGTTAACAAAAAAAGGTGGTATGTTAGATTTGGCCCATGGGCCATAATTTGCTGACCTCTGTGTAGACAGAACAAAATAAAACTGTGATTCATTTACTGAATAGTACCAAGTAGTATTAAACCTTTTGTGTATACAGTTATATATCCAATAAATAATTCAATCCTTAAGATTTTACCTACCTTTATATTAAAACCATACAAAAAATGGACTTATGCCACAGAAAATGAACTACTTTACTGCTTTCTATTTGTATTTTATTACCTTTAGTTTTAAATTGTTGAGACTATTACATTTTGGCCAAAACATATATAGAACCTGAAATGATGGTGGAATAAGATAAAGGGTACAACCCCAAAGGACCACACTGTTGTGCAGAGAACACAGTAAGAACCTCAGATGGCTCCCTTAAAATACCTACCTTTATAACCTGTATAGATAAAAGGGGGCCCAGATAATGATGTTACTAAATTATTAAAGCATTATGTAGCCTTTAAAAATTGAAGATTATTTAACAATATTAAAAAATGAGTATATGAGCCTGGCTGGCGTGGCTCAGTAGTTGAGCGACGACCTATGAGCCAGGAGGTTGCGGTTTGATTCCAAGTTGATTGTGGGCTCCACCCCCAGTATGGGGTGTGCAGGAGGCAGCCGATGATTGATTCTCTCTCATCATTGATGTTTCTGTTTCTCTCTCTCTTTCTCTCCCTCCCTTCCTCCCTTTCTCCCTTCCTCTCTAAAAATCAATAAAAACATGAGTAGATGAAAAAAGTACCCTTACGTCTAGCTCACCAAAACTCAATTTTTACACTTAATAGTTCAGCTGTCTAGATCCATCTATCTTCATACTACTTTAATCCTAATATCTTTAACAGTTTCAAATTTGTACCTAATATTTGTACTGTATTTCACTATATTTATGAAGAATATTCATAGTTGATATATGGATTGATTGTAGGGTGTATTTCTTTCTGTATAAATAAATAAACCTGCAATGATTATTATCTTTGTGAAGATTTTTGGCATCATTTCGTTTTTTTAGGATAAACTCCCATGAGTAGAATTAATCTTTATGGCTCTCATATGTTGAATCATTCCAAAGGTATGATTCAACTCTGCATCCACTGATGCATGACTGTATCAACATCCCCATTGCTTTTTGTTAGTGGATATTTTAACTTATTTTTAAAATTATTCTGTAATTTAGAAGGTATACTTACATAGTAACATTAAAATGAGTTTTTTATATCATATTATTGGCTTTGTTTTATTTGTTGCAAATATTTTATCCTAATCATGAAGTTTGTAGTTATGTGATTTTTGATACTACAAAAATTCTTTGACATTCAAACCTGTCAATCTTGTGCTGTCACTGATTTTACTTTATAGTAATTTACTGTACAGACAGCATAATAATCTTTTATCACTCTCAAAAAAAGTTTGTCTCATTGTATTTGAAATTTCAAATATATACATTTGGCATATTTCTGGGTTTTCTTTTTGGTTCCACAAATGTTACCTTGGAACCTCATTGAAGGGTAGACTCTATACAATGATGAGAATGGCCTGTACTGGCTCATGTCTGTGAAGACTATCAATCCTTCACCTAAATATTAGGGATGAACACTAACCATATATAACAATAAGATAAAAATAAATATAAAGAAAACAATAAAAAAAAAAGAAGAAAGAAAACAATATCATACATTTAAGACTCTTACCAGCACTCTTTGTTTCTTAAAAGGTGTTGTGCTAAAAAAGTCATCATGGTCATCTTTTGGCAACTGGTCCAGAAAATCCCTCATCTGCTTCTTCCTTTTAAGAGTTCCCACTTTGGCAGTTATCTTAATAGTCTGCTTCTTATCTGAATCATCTCTCTTGCCTTAAGAGTCAGCAAAACATATTGGTAAGACCTGGTCATTAGAATAACTGCTCTAGAGTTAACAAACTTGACAAAATCTAAACTGTGTATTCATATTAAGTAAATTCAGCCTCTATTATATACAGGTTTTATCTGTAACAAGGGATCCTTTCTACATTGGGATCTGTGTGATATCCTTAGCCCGCAAGACACTCCTGAAGAACATACATGTAAGATTGGGCAGGGTTTGGTTAAAAAAGTCTTAATCTTGTGAGAAAGGTTATCTCCCGTACTCCTCTTACTGATACCTAATTTATTGATTTTTGCTAAAATATAAAGCACATTTAGCAATGACAGGGATAGTGGACACACCCCAAAGTTTAGAATCGGACTTCTCTACAATAAACCTTGGGCAGAAGAGTGCACTCCTGGAAGCCATGAAAACTAAATTTATTCTGATAATGAAAACCTGCCTTGGGCCCTGGCCGGTCTTGCTCAGTGGATAGAGCGTCAGACTGCAGACTCAAGGATCCCGGGTACGATTCCGATCAAGGGCATGAACCTTGGTTGCAGGCACATCCCCAATGGGGGATGTGCAGGAGGCAGCTGATGGATGTTTCTCTCTCATCGATGTTTCTAACTCTATCCCTCTCCCTTCCTCTCTGTAAAAAAATCAATAAAATATATTTAAAAAACACACACACACACACAAAAACCTGCCTTGGGGACCCTACCCAAGTGGCCTGAAATTAAATTAGACCCTTAGAATAATCCAAATACAGATACCTTGGTTGCAGGCACATCCCCAATGGGGGATGTGCAGGAGGCAGCTGATGGATGTTTCTCTCTCATCGATGTTTCTAACTCTATCTCTCTCCCTTCCTCTCTGTAAAAAAATCAATAAAATATATTTAAAAAAAAACACACACACACAAAAACCTGCCTTGGGGACCCTACCCAAGTGGCCTGAAATTAAATTAGACCCTTAGAATAATCCAAATACAGATAATCTTTGCAATTCTTTCTAGTTTTAAAGTTTTAAGAAAACATCTACAGCACTGGCCGGTTTGGCTCAGTGGTTGGAGCATCGGCCAATGGACTAAAGGGTCTTGGATTCCATTTCTAGTCAAGGGTACATATCTCCACTGCAGCAGGTTCAATCCCCTGCCCAGGTCGGGGCCCAGGTTAGAGACAACGCATTGATGTTTCTCTCTCCACCCTTCCTCCCTCCCTTCCACTCTCTAAAAATCAAAACAATAAAAAAAAATCTGTAAGACACTTGGATATCCTATATAATAAAAGAGTAATATGCAAATTGACCATCACTCCAACACACAAAATAGCCAACCGTACGTGGACATAAGATGGCCTGCAGGGGAGGGCACTTGGGGGGGACCAGGTCTTCAGGGGAGGGCAGTTGGGGGTAACCTGGCCAGCAGGGGAAGGCAATTAGGGGCAATTGGGCCGACAGGGGGGCAGTTAAGCGTCGATTATGGCAAGCAGAAGCAGTTAGGGGCAATCAGGCAGGCACGCAGATGTCCAACTGCCCATTTAGGCCAGATCCCAATTGGACCTAAATGGGCAGTCGGACATCCCTCAAGGGATCTCAGATTGGAGAGGGTGCAGGCTCGGCTTAGGAACACACACACACACACACCCTGTGCACAAATTTCGTACACCGGGCCTCTAGTATAAATATATATATATATACATAATACATCTAGTGAGTTATTATAAGTTGATACAGAAAACTAGGAAAAAACTATTTACTACAAACTTTACCATTCTTTTGGCCTTTGGGATTGATTGGCTTTTTCTTGGTGACATGTTTCTGGAATCCATTTCCTTGGGGATCTTCCATGTATTTTCTCTGACATTCTTCAGCAGATCGAGAACCTACAGCCATAGCAACATCTGACCAGAAACCAGGTTTGTGCTTGGGAAGAGATGCAAAAGCACTATGGAAGACCAAATCCAGTTAATGAATAAGAAAAAAAACAAAACAAAACCTGAATGCATACCACTAAATCAATCAGATTTACTGAGCTAAAGGAATTTTACCAAAATCATTCTTCTTAACTATTTGGAAAGAAGATACACCCTATACTCAATAACTTACTCTACTGCTTAAAGATATGATGACATAATTTAACATCTAGTAGATGCATTGTTTTAATCTGAAAAATTATCTCCAATCTCAAGGTATTTCTTCCCAAGTCCAACAAATCAGTAATTTGATTTTGGGGGGTGGGGGCTCTAATATGACTAACTTTTCTACGTTGTTGCTCAAATATTACTAGTACTAAATATATTGAAAGATGGGCTCTGAGTTCATATACATTCCAGGTTATGTGTTATGCTTGGCTTGCTTTCATTATAGTATTACAGTTTATAGAACAGACTATCCTATCTAATAAAAGAGAAACATGGTAATTGGCGTACATCTGCTACTCTTCCCATTGGCTAATCAGCGAGATATGCAAATTAACTGCCAGCCAAGATGGCAGCCAGCGGCCAGGCAGCTTGAAGCTAACATGAGGCTTGCTTGCTTCAGTGACGGAGGAAACCAAC